ACACGATGCACTGTATGTTGACTTGCTGTTGACCCTAAACACAGTTGTGGAAAATGGGGGTATGAAGCCAACAGTGAGGGCAAAAGCAAGAGGATTCGTTGAAGCTCTTCTTAAATTTGAGACAGTTTTAACTGCTCAAATCTTTCTACGCATTTTTCAACACACCTCACCTCTCTCTAAATACTTACAGACCCAAGGTATGGACATTTTGTCGGCTCAGAGGCTTGTTGAGGGGACAGAGCAGAACCTTAAACAATGCGTCAGAGACTTTGAGGCAGTGAAAAGAGCAGCTGACGTGTTTGTTAACTGGGCTAATGAAAAGCTCCAGGAGGTGGAAAGTTGTGAACTTGTGGTACAGGCTGGGCTTCCAGAGAGACGAGTGAGAAAAAAGAAAAGGATGCCAGGAGAGATTTTAGAGGATGAGCCAGTAGCCTCACCTGAGGCTGCTTTTGAAGTGAGTGTCCACAATGTCATTCTGGACACTGTGGCCAGTAACATACATTTAAGGTTTGCAGCCAATGCCAAACTTGTCTCTGATTTTGCTTGCCTTGATCCTAAAAACTTTTCAGAGATAAGGCTTAATGGACTCAACAGCTCAGCACTTCAAGAAATAAGCAAAAATCTGCTTAGGTTTGATGAGARAGCCACAGTGAGTACTTTACATACAGAGCTGTCCAGTCTAGCATCCCAGTGGGATAGACTAAAAATGTCCCCTCTGGAAGAGTTCACTGTCAGGAAAGATACTGAGATGGAACAGGATGGCCAGGAGGGCTCAGTTGAACCAGAGATAGAACTTGAAAGCAGGGCTTGTTCTTCTYGCAGAAACTGTGCTATCTGTGTTCACCATATACTGACACAATATAACCTTTTCACAGACGCCTATTCTGTTATTGGGCTGGCATACAAATATTTGTTGACTCTTTCATTGTCTCAGGTTGCATGTGAGAGAAGCTTCTCTACTCTCAAGTTCATCAAGAATAGACTACGGAGCACACTTAATCAGGAGCATTTGGAGGCATTTATGCTCATGTCCACAGAGAAAGAACTTCTCATGTCTATTGACAATGACAAAGTAACAAATATGGTTGCAGAAACTAGTGCACTTCTTAGGCGCTTACTGATGCTGTACATCACGTGTCAAACTCTAGACCCATGGGCCAAATCTGGCCTCATTAACATTTTATCTGGCCCCAGATTTAATATTTTAAATGTAAATAGTTTTATGGTTTATATTTTTGTCACTGCATTTAGTGCAAACTTCTTATGACAGCTGGTTAACTTTCAAGCCAGTTTTGAGTTTTTCACTAATTTTTGATATTGATATGGAAAGAGCTAYGGAGATTTTGGTCWGTCTGTTTTGAGTGTTCTTGTTTCTGATTCTCTGAAACACAAGGTAACAATGGAAAAGGACATGTTAAACGCCATCACAGTTGACTGGCAGTGAATCATAATGTAGGACAACTTATCTTTTTCTGTGTTTTTTTAAGTCAAATAATGGGAATTTTAGAGGGTTTTCTTTTTTCACCTGATTTGCTTAATTGTAACAAAATGTAATTAAAAAAATAGTAAATGAAGAAGTTGTTGACCGTATTGCAATAAAAAAATATTATATGCTACATTTTTGCCTAATTTTTTATATGTGGAAAAAATGGGCCGGTCTTGGCCATTAAACTCCCGGGCTGAAAAGTTGTCCCACTCCGCCCCTG